TCTGTTAAAACATCTGAATGTTATATATTTCTAGTGTGTTAATTACTTGGTTTAGAAAGTATAAATATGCTCTCTGATTACGCGAATGTTTGTCATTGTTGTTTATGTGCAATAGGATGTAAACACCAAGCAGTATTTTATATTTCTGAACAAAGTGCATTGATATGCACAGCCTTGTTACAGTTTTTATTTGTAGGGAACACAGTTTCATTTTATGGTCCACGATATCGTTGTATAGTCATAATATCTCTCATTCAAAATCTCTTGATTTCACGAGAATGATTGCTGTTATCCATTTTTGTGTTCTAATTTCGAGCAATATACGCTTTTTTATCGTTTGGAGAACACAAGAGGGAATCTGTTTAATGTTCTGAGAATTTCGCATACGTACCTAGGAAGGATCATGAGAGGTAGTAGGTATTGGAATTTTTTTGAACTGTTCGAGATTATATAAGTTCTTGGGAATACTCCTAAAGTTGAACACCTTATACCTATGTAATCATTCGCGTTAGAACCCAAGTTTGCTAGATCGATTAAATCAGCTCTTCAAGGAGAATCTGAAAATCCAATAAAGTACAGGATGTTCCGTTCAAAATGAGGAATTTAATAAAGAATCCTGAATAACTGAAAAAGTGGCAACATTGGCTGTAACATTTTCGATTCCGCCATTTTTGAAATCACACTGTACATAAATTCAAAGAAATTCAAAAACAGGTTACCGAGATATTCATCTGTTTCCATACAGCGACCGTGTATGTCGTTTACTTCGAGTAGTTCAATATGGCATAGATATAGGGGTCTTGGTGAGAATGGTGGCATATACAGGGTTATGATAAAGTAATGCACAAAATTCATAAAACGTACAACGATCACTTTTGAAAAAAATGCAAAAACACGTCAAACTGTTTTTTTCATTCCGCATCTTTTGAAATAAGTTACAAAAATAACACGTCAAAGTTGTCAAAGTTATGACGTCATCAACAAATTCTTTCAATGGGAAGCTAAGATTTTTATTACATTATGTGAGCCTCACTGCAACTATTTTTCCCTTGTGTAAAAACACAAGCTCTATCAAATTCCTAATAATATTGATACAATATTGCTAATAAAGTGTTGATTCAATAGGATTTATTTCTGAAATCCACTCAACAAGGTTTTTGTCTCCCCAGGCTGTAATTTCAGCAAGACATGCATTGACAGCGTCGACTTGTCTTCATCGTAAGTCTTAGTTTACTGAGAGAAAATTGGAATTCTGAAAGAGAATGCATTATGGAGAATACTATTATCTGCAAAGCAATGTTTACCAAAAATGGATGAAAAATCTATTGCTGTTGACTTTCTTCTTGATATTAGAGGCCCTAGAAGCGAACCATGAGGTGTTCCAAGAGAAATGCGAAAAGCTATAATCACAGCTTCGATTTCTACTGATATAGTGCACTAATAATAAAAGGATATAACTAATTGATGCCTCCCATTGCATTGTCTATATCATTAGTTAGAGAACTGCTGAAGTATAAGACATTGAACTTCATGCATTCAGGATTCCCCATCGTGAATTTTCCGCATGTAGACATTTTTCTTTTCATTCATTAAACTCTCTAATGGAGTATCTGTAGTTGTTTCTTCACAATGCATGTGCAATTGATATCGTGTTCAAATTATACGATTAGATAAACATGCCTATGTGATGTTCAATAAAGTAACCTGAACCATGTCTTTTGCTTTACTCGAACTGCAAGGGAAATACATCATTCAAATTGCTTCAAAACTAATTGATGAATCGTGCAAAAAAGTTTATTTTTGCAGATTGATATCAATCGATAAGATCCATTTACAAGTTTTCTCAATCACATTTATTGCGTACGCCCATTCACTGGTTATTCACATCAGATCGTTTATTCTTACCAACCAGATTGAGAATCAAAGGAAGTTGTTAATGAATGTAAATTAGTGTGTGCAAGTGGAGGAATTCACTATGAAGGGATCTTTCGAAATTTGTTAGCCAACAAATAAAGTAGGTGAATATTATGAAATGAAACTATCAAAAGTGAATATAGGCCATAAAACTCTGTTAGCTTTGATATGTTTTTAAATAAAGCAATAGACACAGTTGAGGGCTGTAGTCTTAGGTTACGTAATTAGTCCAACACCAAGATTTTTTGGTAATTCGATAAAAGAAATACCGTTAACAAAATACAATGGGACTATAGGAGTAAGATTAAAGAATCAACATATTTAATAATTATGATTAATCTGTAATGTTCATCTACTCAAATAGCGGTACTATGTTCTTAAAATAATCTCGTATTTTATAGAATTTGGAGTGTGGGAATGCCTTGGTGAGATAATTACTGTTCATTCGTCGAGCGTTGATAATTGTTGAAAAAATTGTATGATCTCTCGATGTAATAGAAGAACGTTTCGTGGTGTGTCTAATTTTTCAACCCATGTATAATTTCTCATCTATAATAAAACTATAATTTAGTCGAATTTACCATGTCTATTATCTCTTCGTTTTTTGGGTATGTTTAGCCTCCAAACAATTTGTTATTGTGTTTATACAGGTTGTCCCAGAATAACATTCATATATAACGTTCTGAAGATAAGACAAAAATATTCCTACACTGTTGAAAATGAGATGCCACTTACAACAACTTCCTTCATTGTTATAAACATTTTGCTTAATTCATCAACATTTTCATGACACTTGTACTACTATAATTTCCGATCATGTTGTCAAAGGAATCAGTTGTCAATTTGTAAGCTTTTATCAATGAAACAACTGGAATACAGATATCTTTTATCCTTCCTGTTGTATTTTCATCAAGAAAACATAGTTTCTATATCGATAAACATTTTTGGAAATCGTCAAAGTGACAATAAAAAATGGTTGAGAGTTAAATTAGCAATTGTGATGATTTAAATATATTGAATCTGATATACCTCCACAAAATTGTTAATACATTATTAGTTGAATGCCATTTCATCAGATTATGTTCAAAATTCGTCAACATCTTTCTCAACTTCAACAATAGTTCTAGACTGGGTATAAACATTTTCTTGATACTCATAATACGACTCGATCTTTTTCGGAAATATTCGTGTATCTATTAGTTTTTGTTGGTGAACGTGATTGAACTCGAAGAAACTCAAGATATACACATTTTTTCTCATTCTCTTCTGCAGAATGACTTTCCGGAGTATACGAACGTTATTCTGAGACATTCTGTATCCTCATACATGATTCATGAATACAATCGCTCAATACTTCAATACTGTTGAAATGTTATCAGACCATTTGACCTGGTTTTCGTTTTTTATATGTATACCTACATTCTAAGATGACTAATCTAAATTATTTCCTGGAAATTTTTAAACAAAGCTTCAAGGAGATGTTCGAAGAGGATTTCGTCAATTTCACTCGTATCTACCCTATGACTCAGCCTCATAAATTTTATGAAGGAAATACCAGACATATTCTTCAGAGACTTTAACGCTCGGTCACACCAGAACCAACAATGATTTTCGAAGAAGCCAATAAATTGATCATGTAAAAATCATCAATAAGTTGGATTTTTTACGAATCAGTTTCTGATTGGAGCTTGAATTGCATGGAATCAAATAAAAATGATGACTTTATCGCATATGAAGAAAGCAGCTAGCAGCTAGAAACGTTTATTTTACATAAATTTTCAAATAAAACTAAGACAGGAGAAAAAATGGTGATTTTTCACTTATCATGCGATGGTTTTTTTTTGAAAAGTATTCTTGTTACCTACGTATTTTGTTTGAAAAACACGAATTCGATAATCAAACCACTACTTATCAAGATATTTCAAGGAAAAGATCGAAGTTTCGCCTTCTTTTTCTGCCTATTTTGGTTGCATTTACAGCTACTATACTCTTCTTATTTTGTCATTGGACACTTTATATACTTATGATGTACTTCAATAGTACATTTTCAAATAGAGAATTCAACACAAAATGTGGTTTTTATACCAGATGAAAGCCATCAAATCAATAATTACTTCAAATACGAGATGTCAAATGCCAACAGATTGCTTTTGAATGAGGTTACACACGCCATTAATTTGAATATTATCATTTTTCTTCCTTCTTCGTGATATATTTGATTTGTATAATGATGAGAGGAGAAGTGCCAATTGTTCTAAATGCGATCCAAAAGACAGGCGGAAAAGAAGGTGAAATATCTTAATGGTTTGTTCACTTTTCCATTATCAAATTCCTGTTCTCCAGATAAAAATACGGGAGTAACAAAAAAAAATTTAGGAGAAAAACAGATCGCATGATAAGTGCAAAATCACCGAAAAAATGTATCTATAGGTATCTCGTATCTGTCTTGAAGACAGATACGAATTTGCTATTCAAATAACAAGTTTGAAAACGGGAGCAGATTCGTTCCCGAAATGTCCAAAGCTAAGTAAAAATTTGATATTTTTTCTATATATTGTCACTGACAAGCTAGTGAATTTTTCTTTTAGGCTCTCTGATAGGTAAATTCTTCAAACGCAATGACATTTTGGGGCATATCATCAGATTTGTCTTTACTACACGTATATTGGAATGATATTCATATTTTTATTTTATAGAAACGAGGAGAGAAAATCTCAAAAATTCTGGAATAATGTATCTATAGGTAATTTAGGTTGAATTTTCAAAATTTGTGGCCAAGAATCGATTGTTAAAATATTTGCAATTAGTAATGAAACAGCCTTTATACAATCAAGCACAAATATGTGAATATTGCCGCCACCTGAGTATAGGTATTAAATACCTATATCAGGTATATATTTTTTGCATTGGGAAACATACAAAAGTATTCATTATTTCTTGTTTGTGATATTCAGATCCTCGTTTAGATCTATCAAATATAGGACATCAATTTTGGATATCGAATAATATACATATATGAGTTTGCAATAGTATATGATTGATTTCGATTTTTATTGATATTCTAGATATAAAATAAGGAAACTCACTTGTCATTTTCCATGAAAAACAAGTTTGTGTCACTCTGAATCCATGAACAAACGTTATGTTCGATTCACACGTAAAGTATATACTCCAACTCAGTAAAAACAATGGAATCACGTAAAGCGCGCTCTCGAATCTGTCAAACGAACAATCGACAACACGACCATTGTTTAAACGTCAAAAAGGCATTCCGAAAGATGTTCACGAAGTAGAGGCAAAGAAGTTGCTGGCTGAAATGCCGAGGAGGACAAAACTCGATTTTTTTGACCGACAAGAATCCACTGCCAACTTGACGATAGATCGTATCCCCAGGTCGATAGTACCGTAAAACGATAAAGGAAAACAGTTTTGAGGTATTCGCGAGTTGCGGCAGAACCATCAGATTATACAGGGCGTATTCAAACTAGTCGGCCATTGAACTCTGCACTCTACACTCTGCACATCATCATTTTTGGATACCTTATTGGAGGAATTTCCAGTGAATTTAAAAAAGTGTTTGTTAAAAAAATAAAAATATTCGTGTTTCTACTGAGACTTCACGAACGAATAATTGTGATATTCTTGGAATCAGATCAGAAGCCCTTCACACTAGTTGGACCAAATCAACTGTTTGTCGAACACAAGTCACTAAAAAGTAAACATTTTGCGTTCGATTTGTTGAAACAATTCACAATACCCATCCACAGTACTTCAACTTATTTTTAATATACAGGGTGTCCCATGAGTAATCAGGAAAAGTGGGGTGCCAGGGGGGGAATCATTAGTAATCAAACTATAACGGTATATTATAAATTTTTCTTCATGTTCTGGTTCCCCCGAAAAAGGGAATCTTGTAATTTTCAGAGAACATCGTGAGAACCAAGAGAAATAAGGTAGGAATTGGTGTTCTAATCAAATTTCTGGAGGTTATATGCCTCGGGGAACACCTCCATTGGCAATGTGTTCCAGAGCCTTGCTCCTGACAAGCTTATGTTGGGCACAGTGAGATCGGATTTTCTAGAGAAAAGGCCTGTATTTTATATGCATTGAAAACTACCAATTTATTGGATCGTCATTCGAGAATTGTTGCCAAGTCCATATTTATGTTGTCAACATGTCTTCCTCGTTCGTTTCCGATTTGCCTGGCTGGTATTGGAGCCCTGGAAGACAAGGCGGTATGGAGGGTACTATCATCCGCGAAGCTGTGTACTGGACATGAAGTTGCTTCCAACAAATCCTTGATATGGAGTAGAAATAGTGTTGGTGCTAGAATTGATTCTTGCGGAACACCAGCATTTATGATAAGAGAGTCAGATGAAACTCCGTCGACCACTACATGGAGAGACCTGTTTGAGAGAAAACTATAGCTAGCAGAGAACATAACTGGGGAGGCAAGCTATAAGATGGAAGCTTGGCGAGGGGTTCGTGGTGCCAGACTTGATCGAATGCCTCGGAGATATCAAGTGCCACGGTCAAGATTTCACCATATTTTTCAATAGATTGCTGCCATATATGTGAGACATAAGCGAGCAGGTTACCAGTTGATCTCTGATGACGGAAGCCATATTCCCTATCGTTGATGATACCTGAATGTTCCAGGTATTTCATCAGCTCGATGTTGATAGCTTTCATAGCTATACAATTTTTCCGGAAAATGCGATCCATGTTAAAAAAAAATAACAACAAAAAGGCTGTTTTGAATAACCCATATGTTATATTATTTCGAAATCAGTATTAAATGGTCAACTTTTTCTTACGAATGGTTATCCTTGTTTTTCAAATATGCCAGCGACATTTAAATTCAGATCAAATCAGAAGCTCTCTGTACTAGTGGGACCAATTCAATTTTTTGTCAAAATATTCACTGAGAAGTCAGAATATTTCACGTCCAAAATGTTGAAACAAGCTGAAAAACTCATGGTTCAACACTCATCCACAATGATTCAGCTAATTTTTTCTCTCTTCACAAGAGGAAAAGGTTCTTTTCTTTGTATATTCTCATCTTGAGTCAAGTTTACTTCGGCTCCAAAAAGGAATGCTATTTTCTCAATCCCTTTCGATTCGATAAGATATAATTCAGTGAATATTTGAATTATTGGTGATGGTTTTCTCAATTTTTCCACAAATCGCATTCATTTCCATAAATTATATACCTACTATTCTAACAACGCAACTATATACTGTGTAAATGTCATTAAAGATTTATTCACTGTTTCGGCTGTCATGGTTTCAAATGTAAGGTTTTGTTTTGTTGCTGGAAGTGTTAGGGCAAATTCCTGAAATCACAGCTGCTCATGGGATTTTGCATACATACATTGAATTATTAGTTCAAAATACATTACAGTACAGAAAAAAAAATCAACCAGCACAAGCTCCCGTATGTTTTCAAGTAAACCCAATTTCAATAGTCTTGTTTCTCTGGCTCATGATCATTATTGGTTCATTCCGGCCCCTTCTATTTCCCTCAGGTACACTCAAAAATACCTTCCACGTCTCACCTACCTCACAAAGTCAACAGAAGTCAGTTGGAGTATACTACCTGTTGGACAAACAATACCAACGCAATACAGGTCGAGCCAAAATGTCGGTGTATCTACCTGTTACGATCTCCTTTGTGTTGGTACCTTTCGATAGATTGCACCTGTTGCTTAATGCTTCATGAAAGGGTACTACTGAACGTTTAGTACCTTTTCTTGGGAAACCAACATGATTTCCAGTGATTATGTGTTGGAACTTTGCAATGTGTTTTACTCAGGCCAGGTAAGGTGATTATTATTTCAATTATTGTTTTATGATACCTGTGCTCCATGCACAATAGCCTACAATGAAAGTTAATGCTCGAGTTGTGATTCTTTGACAATAATTCAGAACTTATTTTTGGTAGGTTGAACCAGGGTCCTGTGTACAGAGAGTTATAGGAAACATAAAAACAGGCGTTATACTCAAAGATGTCTCAATGGTCGTGCATTCTGGAGAGGTTCTAGCGGTACTAGGATCGAAAGGTACCTGTTGATCCACTTGTTGATTTCCACTTGTTGATTTCCACTTGTTGAGATGAGTTTGTTTTCAGGGAGTGGTAAGAAAGCTCTTTTAGATGTGATATCACGGAGGGCTCAAGGCCCTGTAAGGGGTCAAATTCTTCTCAACAATCATCCTATGAGCATGTGTCTTTTTCAACAAAGGTGTGCTTATGTTACACACAAATGTGATCTTCTGCCTGGTCTAACAGTGGAACAAACTTTGTATTATACACCGACAAAGGTAATCATTGCTGTGTAGGTTAATCGTGAAGGTGGTGGCACATTCAATATTTCAGATTTTTTGTGATATTCTCTCCTCGTTTCAATAAAATAAAAATATGAATATTATTTCAATATACGTGTATTAAGGACGAATCAGATGATTTGCCCCACTCACTGCGTTTAGAAAATGTTCCTATCAGAGAGCCTAAAAAAAAATTGACTAGCTTGTCAGTGACAATTTGTATTGGAGAAGGTTTGGAGAAGAGAAATAAAGGTATATAGAAAAAATATCAAATTTTCACTTAGTTTTGAACGTTTCGGGAACGAATCTTTCCCATTTTCAACATAAAAATGGATATTTGAATAGCAAATTCGTATTTGTCTTGACACTTTTAAGTTCTCAGTGACAATTGGTGACGTTGGCAATCAAATAAGTTACAGGATGTTTTCATTACTTAATCTTGATTCATATAATTTACCATTTTCCTTTTCAGATTTCAGTAGTGAATATCATGTTCTATCTTTATCAACTGAACCGGAAGCAATGCTATTTTCTCCGCTCAGAAGAATGCAAGCAGATTCCTTGATTTTCCTCTTCTGATTGTTATCCTCTTTTCCAATGATTTTAATATTATTCCACTGTGCCATATGTTGTCCATCTTCAGTAAGGATGAAGAAACATAAGTACCATACAAAAAAAGACACACCGATAAATCGAAACTAGCTGAACATATCCTTACTGGAGATGGACAACATATGGCAGAGTGGAATGATATTAAAATCATTGGAAAAGAAGATAACAATTAGAAGAGAAAATTCAAGGAATCTGCTTTCAATCTTCTGAACGGATAGACAATAGCATTTCTTCCTGTTCAGTTGATATAGATAGACCATATGGTATTCACTACTGAAATCTAGGAATGGAAATGGTAAATTCAAGATTAATTAGTGAAAACATCCTGTAACTCATTTGATTGCCAACGTCACCAATTGTCACTGGGAACTGAAAAGTATCGAGACAAATACGAACTTGCTATTCAAATATCCATTTTTCATGTTGAAAATGGAAGCAGATTCGTTCCCGAAACGTCCAAAGCTGAGTGAAAATTTGATATTTCTCTATATACCTTTATTTCTCTTCTCCAAACCTTTTCCAATACAAATTGTGGCAAATCATCTGATTTGTCCTTACTACACGTATATTGAAATAATATTCATATATTTATTTTATAGAAAGGAGGAGATAAAATCCCAAAAAATTTGGAATAACAGTCATAGCTCCTTCGCCAGAATTTAGAAATTGCAAATTCGCTCAAGAAACCTTTCGAATTTAATATTTTGTTGTTGTTGTGGGGATTTTAGGTTTCTGGATATACAAAGAGATCGAAAGTGAAGCAAGTGATGGCAGATTTGGCATTGTCGCAAGTATCCAATAGATGCACGGAAGACTTGACTCATAGCGAATATAGAAGACTGATGATTGGTGTACAACTGATAAAAGATCCAGGTGAATTAATAAAGAATCAATAGGTACCCTCCCAAATATATTTGAATTTTTCGCCTATAGTCTTCCTAATGAATCTATAGTTGGTATAGTCACGATTTCTCATTATTGATTGGAAATGCATTTTCTGAAAAGAATTGAATCCTAATTTGCAAAGATATACTCAAGTCGAAAAATCCAGCTAACTAGCTTGAACTAGTTAGTAGCTTCGTCAGGTGATATACTGTTACAATGAACTAAACTAATCTTCCAAGTTAATCCGGTTCACCGGATTTTAATGTAGATATTGTGCCTAATTTCCGAAAATGAAGGTTTATCGTACCTGTCCACAGGTAACTAATCCTTCAGGTTGGAAAAGTATAGTATATACAGGGTGATTCAAATAAGAACCGACATAGAGCAGGGGCATGTAGGGAGTCCTAAAATATGGCAATTTAACGCAACTTACCTCTATACCAAGTTGGTTCCCTAAGGAGATATAGGCTTTGAAAAAAATCAATATCTTCGTTATTCTTGAACTTGAAGCAACCAAATTTGGCACACTTTGTGGATGTATTTAGGGCGTTACTTGACAGTAACTAAAGTTTAATTGAAATTTGTAAAGGGGATATACCAGGTGGCGCACCATTAATATTCAACATAATTTTGTTAACCCTTGATGGATTTCAAAAATCTTTGCTTTATTTCGTGGGCAATTCAATTCCTAAACTTTTTTTACTCCAGTAATTTTTCGAAAAACTCCATCATTTTCATCAAAAACTCGAATAACTGAAAACGCGCGCTCTAGGTGTGTTATTTAAAATCATCGAAAATTCAAAAGTTGGCTATGCAAATAAACGTCAAACTTGACAATGAGGCAAGTGAGTTGATCAATTAAGTAATTGTTGTTTGAGTGTTTTTAAAATGAACGGGAAGTTTTCTTTCAACGAGCAAGTTGACATGCTGTTAGTGCTATGCCTATAACTCCTCAGGAAAGTAACTTGGTATAGAGGTAAGTTGCGTTAAATTGCAATATTTTGGGACCCCCTGCATGCCCCTGCCCTATGTCGGTGTTTTTTATCGCTTGGAGTGCACGAAAGGGAATCCCTATATTGTACCAGTATATCACCTGACGAAGCTACTGTGTTAGCAAAACATGCCGTGTGTTTGAGAATCTTGTGGATATCTAATCGTTTGTGAAGTTTCTAACATTTTTGGAAATTATTTTGAGCATTGCATCTATTCATCCAACAGTTAATTCCACTTTAAGCATTTCGGCTTTTTCGAAGTTGATATATTTTCATCGAGATAAAAATGAAACCAGTTGAAACGATGTTAATTTCTTCGACAAATATGTATGTTTTTACTTCTTGTTGCACTATGTTTCTTAAAGTGGAACTGAATAATATTATTATAGTATTTGACAAAACCAGAATAACAATATCAATGTTCGAGAAGCAGCAGTTGAATTTGAATAAAAATTCTAGGGAAATTTCTTAGGGATAGATTGATGAAAATGGCTTTGTCCAGTGCAATTTCTAAGGCTCAAAACAAATATTATTGATTTTTTTGTGTGAAAATTCTTGTCATTTACCGACCAGAAGATTCTGGTATACCCGGAGCTTTGAAGGTTCTGCCTAGCGGTTCATCTAAATGAAATTTGTTTTTTTCAGTTGTACTGCTGTTGGACGAACCAACATGGGATCTGGACCCATTGAACACTTATCTGGTTGTATCCATCTTGTCCAACGCTGCTAAAAAGTATGGTACAGCCGTTGTTTTGACCATGGAGAAGCCCAGATCTGACGTGTTTCCTTTTTTGGAGAGAGTGCTTTACTTGTGCCTCGGGGACGTGGTTTATACAGGGGGCACCAGACAGATGCTAGAATATTTCAATGCCATCGGGTTTCCTTGTCCACAATTGGAGAATCCGCTAATGTACTATCGTGAGTAGAATTAAAAAGACAAAAACATTATTACTCATACAGAAAACTCTTGAGTATATTCGCAATAGTCTGCCTTTATAGAAAAACATGAAGATACAATCGTCGGCAATTATTTATCACCCTCTTTGAGCTGAATTGTTCATGAATCATTTCGAAATATCAGATATGCTGGTAATATTGATAATATTTTGAACCTATTGTCATTCCTGAACTGAACAATTGCTTCTCTATTATTGAATTTACTGTTGAATATGAGAACAACGGGAAACTACTGCTCTTGATCATTTTTCAATGAAACATAGTGAGAACATTACAGATTTTGACGTGTTTAGTTGATGAACTGATCAACTGGTGACCTGCTCGCTTACGTCTCACATAATATATGGCAGCAATATATTGAAAAATATGGGGAAACCTTAGCCGTGGCACTTGATATCTCCAAGGCATTCGATCCAGTCTGGCACCACGGACTTCTCGCCAAGCATCCATCTTATGGCTTGCCTCCCCAGCTATGTTCTCTGCTAGCTAGTTTTCTCTCAAACAGGTCTCTCCCCATGTAGTGGTCGACGGAGTTTCATATGACTCTCTTATCATGAATGCTGGTGTTCCGCAAGGATCAATTCTAGCACCAACACTATTTCTACTCCATATTAACGATTTGTTGGAAGCAAATTCATGTCCAGTACACAGCTTCGCGGATGATAGTACCCTTCATACCGCCTTCTCTTCCAGGACTCCAATACCAGCCAGGCAAATCAGAAACGAACGAGAAAGAAATGTTGACAACATAAATATGGACTTGACAACAATTCTCGAATGGAGATCCAATGACTTGGTAGATTTCAATGCAAACAAAACACAAGCATGTCTTTTCTCTAGAAAAGCCTATATCACTGATCCCAACATAAGCTTGTCAGGAGTAACCATACCTTTGAAAACACCCCCTTCGTTGCTTGGTTTTACTAGCAGCAATATCCTTACTTGGGAAAATCACGTAAGATCAATTGCTAACAGTGCATCCCAAAAACTTGGTTTTCTGTTTCGGGCCAGGAGCCATTTCACTTCCAGTCAGCTGCTTATAATCTATGAGGCATAGATCCGACCTGTCCTGGAGTACTGTTTCCATAGTTGGAGTGCAGCACCCAAACATACCCTGAAACTGTTGAATTCTGTCCAAAAGAGGGCAAATCGTCTCGTGGGTGATGCCTCGCTCACAAACTCACTCACTCTTCTGGAACACCGTAGAAAAGTTGGCGATCTGGCTCTAACATAGATATTTTAATAGACGTTGCTCTTCTGAAATATCAACAATTGTTCCTTCCTTGGCAGTCCCCGCGAGATTAACCCGTCGAGTTGAGTCTTCGCACCCCTTCGTGGTCACTTTGGATACTTGCAGAACATATCTTTCCAAAGACTCGTTCATCCAACGAACAGCGAGGTTCTGGAACACATTGCCAAGGGAGGTGTTCCCCGAGGCATATAACCTCCAGAAATTCAAGAAGAACAACAATTCCTTCCACATTTTCATGGTTCTCACGATGTTCTCTGAACATTACAGGATTTCCCTTTTCGTGGGAACCAGAACAAAAAAATAAACCCAACACAATCTAACCAACACAAATAATGATGGTTCAAATCATTGTTTTCTTCAAAAAAGGCTGATCAATTTGTTCGTCCATACACTATTGTTCAATCTCCAATTCTGCGAGGTGTGTTATTCATAATGTTGTCATGATACTTAAATAGTAAATGAACATACTTTCTAAGTGGAAATGAACAATTGAATAATAATAACAATTCCGTTCAATCCCATATTTCAAATTTCATGAGATCTCAATATGAGATTTCCGATACTTAAGCTTGAACCTAGGTCAAAATTGAAGAATACTGAAGTAACAGACGACATGTTTTCTATTTATGATAAAATCTTTACAGTTTGCCTTTCGACCGTGGATAGAAGATCTAGAGAAAGATTTATGGAAAGCAACCACCAAATAGCAGCCTTAGTAGACAAATTCAAAATAGAAGGCGGTGTTTTCAGGAAAGGATCTACAATCACAGGCCTCAGTCACAATATTGAACATGGAATGCATACCAATAAAATACCTTTGTTGATTGGTAAACCTGGGTTGTTTTCCACTGGGTGGAACATCTACATGTGAGTATCACCAAGACATTTTCCTACTATTTTCTTTTTTTTTATGTTTCCAGGAGGTTGTTGATTGCTACTCTGAGTTTCAAACGAGCAGGATTCCGGCAAATATTCCTGCGTCTATTCCTGCTACCTGTGTTTTTCTTCATGCTGTGGATTTTCTATAGGGAAATGAAGGATTTGCAACATACTTTCATCAGCAGGAGCGGGCTGATTCTCAATTGTCTGGCTGGGGTGTATTTCGTTGGTATCATCAACACCATTTTAATGTGTACGTAAAATACTATTGATGGAATGATCATCTGACTACATAGCTTGGTTATTTTCACAGATCCTACTTATAGAACCAGGTATTTTCAAGAATCTCAAGAAGGTCTATATGGAGGAACACTCTTTTTACTGACTTACAATCTGGTGTCCATCCCATTTTCGTTTCTGACAACTTTAGCAGCAAGCGCAATAGTATATTCGTAAGAATGTCAACGAAAACTCTCTTCAATGATTTTGTTTCATTTTATTTTTATTTTAGATTGGTTGGAAGTTTTGATTCGTCTATGGAGTATTTTTACTTCAGTCTCGTTCTATGGGCCTGCTACATATTCACAGAACAACAAACCATGGCGATTCTCATGATTGTGAAGGACAATTTCACAGCAGCTATTGCCAGTATTTATATTACAGCGGTTTGCATCACATTGAGCAGTGGAATTTTGAGGTATAATGGTGGCTTATATATACAGGGTGCCCCAAGACGATTAAGACAGAAATAATTTCGGAACTGAATAGTAATTTCAGGGCTGTGAAGAAAATGTTGCAGCTTCTTTTGATATCATGTTATCCAATAAGCTTTTTTTTCTCGGTCATGTGACATCAGATTCAAGATTATCATTGGAACAACCTGTATATTAAGGCATTTCTATGTTCCTCCCGATGAAATGATTCCAACAAACTTGTAGTCTGAAACGATTAATCATAGTACTACAGGTAATCAGGGAAATCAGGGGTAGCTGGAATTTACCTCAACATGTTTATTTCAAATACAACCCTATGACTTGCGACCACTCATTGGAAAGCTGGTTAAAAGAGGTTTCCAGCGTACTGATTATATTTCAGTTTGCATTACGTTTGGGGGTCGAATAAAATCAAAATATAGTTTCGAAGTTCAATATATTTTCAACGTATTTTCATGAAAAATTCGACTTCTAGTGTTCAAGTTATATATATGGCATTTCCACCAGTTTGCCATAATACTTCGTTTAGATTCGTGAATACGGTAAACAAACAATAGCAGATAGCAGTTGTGGCAAAAATTGTCATCAATTGTTCAACACACATTTCGAGCGATTGAAACATTGAAAAAAAAATGAATTTCGAGCTGCAGCCACTTGAAAGGGGCCTCTGAAGATGCTATTTCTTGAATATATCCGAAACGCCATGTGATAAAATGATGCAATTAGGTTCAAGAACCACAACCAAAATTCACATGCCCAATGCAGTGACAATGAAATTATTTCATGAGTTAATTCAGGAGTGTATAATACAGGGTGGGACTACATTGAATCTTCCTCAAACATTTTCGTGTGCATATTTTTTGGCATTTCAATCTCGGATTATGAGAATCAACACCTCTTCACAGACCTCTTCTTGTTCCGTATCTATAAAATGTATCATTTTCGAGTGAAATAGATTGAATAATATTGTTACATCTTAGATATCATGCATAACATTGCAATGAATCGTGATACATATGAAAAAAAATGCACAAAAATTGAAGTAGCTATTTATCATCATTTTCTTATATTACGTGCCTCTTTGAATTTGTTTGATAGAGAAAGTCGTTGATTTCTTTGATAGCCACTATGATTTGACAACGTTATATGCACAAGATGTGAGTGTAACAATATTTTCGAATTGATTTGACTCAGATATGATACATCTGATCGATACGGAACGAGTATCTTTTCTCTGTAGAACGATGTGGCTTTTCAGAGTCCGAGAAATCATGCATACAAAAAAGTTTTAGCAATATCCAATGTAGCTTCCTCAAGAAAAAATTCTTGATTCATGTTCATTGACACTTTTATTTCTATATTTAGTCGTAGAAGTCGTTAGTGAAGTTTGGCAGGCTGATTTCGAGACACCCTGTATGAATATAATGATGTTAGAGCGTAATTTCCAGAATCATTAGTTGTAACGCTGTACTGGCTCTTCTGAGTAGAACGTTACGAAAATGGTGGAGGAGCCGGGACTACAACTTCACCGATTTTTTCTGAACTAAAATTTGATCTTAGGAAAAAAAATGTGTTCAATGATAAATACCCAGAGAAATGGAGATTTGGATTTTTGAAATTTGTGCATTGCTTCAATTTACGACCCCAAAATTCCAATTTTCCGAGATATTCCCTGTCTTAATCGTCGTATAAAGAAATAATTATATTTTGGTGATGATAATGATGCTTGAGTGATTTGTTTTCTAGGTCTATCAAGGGACTCCAGGACTGGCTATACTATCTGACTTTTGCAACACAAGTCAGATACGCCTCAGCATTTCTGAACCGAAAAGTTTTCACCAACCCCCTTCTCAATCAAGCCCTTCCATTTGATTTACGGCAAAACTGCACCAACATGAACTTGGTAGATGCATCGTTGCTTAGTGGGGTGAGCAACCCTTACTGCCGGTAAGTTGAAAGTTTTAGTTCAGAGTTCCGATCCAAAACTTGGAAAATTTAAGTTCAAGAATGATTTCAACGGTTTTTTGGAACGTCTTCAGGTGAAAGTTCCCATTTCATTTTCAAGTTTCAATTTGAAAAATACCATTTCACTGATAGTTAGTTGCATATTCAATATTTTCATTTCAGAGTCCTCAGTTGAGAGTTTCATTTTGTGTGTTTGAATTCAGAAGTCTCGCTGTCGCATTTTGAGAGTTTCTGGAAATTTCACAACTTCTATTGCAGATACGCGAACGGGCTAGCTTTCTCATTATAGTGAAAATAACTTGAGAGGTTTATCGTTTGATGCTTACATTCCCAAGTTTCAATTTGAGAGTTTCCATTTCACTGATAGTTACCCAGCGAGCACGAACATCCCTGGGATGGTTTGGGATGTTTTGAAAATGTTGGCATGAATATGTTATTTTGAGACGTAATATGCACTGACCAAAGAGGATATTAAAGTATTGTTTTTGTTCTTCTGTGGCATTTCTTTGTTTGCCTACTGAGAGGTATCCCTGGGATGTTTTGGGATGTTTTAGAAATGTAGGCATGAGGATGTTTTGTTGAGGCGTAATATGCACTTCCCAAAGAGGTTTTAGAAGGATATTGAAAGTATTATTTTTGTTCTTTTGTGCCCTTTCTTTGTTTGCCCCACCACAACGTCTCATACTTACGTCACAATACGATGAATTCTGATTTGTTTTCGATTTTGTTCTTCTTGTTCGCAATTGGCATTCGCGTTTGCAGCGTGTCACGCTTACATCACGCTGCTAACGAACAGAAAGGAATTTGGTGAAGTTTATTGTGTTAGAAGACTTATTCAGTTTGTAATAATGACCATCAGATGCAAGATGTGTTGTTCGGTGCCTCAGTGTAATCAATATATAAAAGTACGAATTCATCAATACACAGCTTCTCCGCAGTTGCAAAATTATGCATTGTGGAGAACATTTCAAAAATTGGGAAACCTATCTCCAATTATTTGTCTGTGTGTAGTAAGCACTACTCAGAAACCGATTAGGAAGGTGATTTCATATCAAGAAAATATGTTTATGTTCAATCTATTTTTAATGCATTTTTTCATTCAAGGGAAATGGAATCCTAATGCAAAAGTTCATTTTGACAAAAGGCTTCAGAAAAGTACCTCGAAAATGGTTTTTTTACAGCAATTTAATGTGCGCAAGACGCGTTGAAAATGTTTTGTTGTGTCCATGAAAAGGCTTTAAAAAGAACTAGGGAGAAGATAGTTTTATACATATCAAGGACATCTCGATAATTGCCGCCTGCGGCGGACATTGGCTGTTCTTTAATAGTTCTATTCATGTGTGAACAGAACATCGCAGTGGAGGTTCAATGTCTCGAAATCTCGTACTTTTAACATCTCTGAGATGTTTTTGTGCTCGCTGGATAGTTGCATATTCAATATTCGCATTTCGGAATTCTCACTGATAGTTTCATTTCCGGAGTATAAAGTTTCAAGTCTCGCTGTTTCATTTTGAAAGTTCTTAAAAATTTCTGAATTTCTATTGCAGATATGCGAACGGTCTAGCTTTTTTGACAGAGCGGTACAGTAGAGATCCCACAGATGTCATCTTCAGCGGGATTCTGGAGGAAGATTTGAATATAGGAGTTACTTTTGCTTTTGCCCTAGGAATGATAGTTTTCAACATGTTTATGTACTTGGTACCCTTGCCTGCATTTGTGAAGGCTAAATTCAGGGAATAGAGAAAAATATTTTTGTATCCCATCATTTTGTCCTAATCGTACTTAATTAGCTATTTCATACATACAGAGATATGCACAAAAACACAAAAGGGGCCAGTACTGTATCTTGTGAATCATTCCTGCTCGAATATTGCTAATTGGTGGGTAACAATCATTCATTGACAAATCAATTCTTGTTCTATGACTTACAGTTTCACCGGAAACGACGCCAACTTTTAATTTTTTGATGGTTCACCCTGCAGCATCGGATTTATTAGTACGCTTAGTATGCTCAAGCTTTGGACCCTTTCATTGCGTCAATATTTTCCCATGTATACAACTGCATTATGTTGATACTCGTCAATATTCTTTCCATGGTATTTCTGATGATCCCACTTCTTTTTTATGATACCTGTCATAGCAAAATTTCGATTTCGTTCTCAAATATTGGGGAAGAAAATAATTGAAATCAAAAATAAAAATGTTCAGTTTTTTCAAAATATTCCAGGAACGGCTCTTCTCTTTATGTTTTCTGTTTTTTTATGTCCAGTCGCAATATTGTTTTCAAAAATCTGAAGTTGGGGTCGTTTCCGCTGAAACCGAAGGTGATAGATCATAAATTGTGTTGTCAATAAATAGAGCGATTTGGTATACTTGGTACCCACCAATTTCCAAAATCCGATCTCTGATAATTCAGAAGGGACAGCAATGGCCACTTTCTGTGCACTCCTCTGTATATAACATTCAATGTTGTTAATAATTTGGATGTGTATAAATACGGATTTCTTAGATATCTTGAATTATCATAGTGAGCCCTCAGTATATGAACATAGGTATTTATTATTAGAGAACCAATATTGAAAAATATGGATCGTATTATGTATTATTGTAATGTATGACATTTATGAATGTGAAACCAATGTGAGATCTATCGTACTACTTATATATTTTTTATTATATTCTGCTTTCTAGAAGTCATATCGGACATTATTCAAAATTCATAGATTGTTTTTTGTGAAAATATTCGGATCCATCGATTTTTAGGCCATTTTATACTTTTTATTAGATGAATCGACCATCAGGAAAAACAGCAATCAGAAATAAAACCAAAAGGTCAAAGCAAAAAGAAAAAAAAACTAGATTTTGAATTCTGACATCACTTCTGGGAATCAAGTTATAATGTTATTTATTATATTTATAAGGTTCTGATTAGTTTTTGAGTTTATTGTACAGTGTAATAATCAGTTAATGTGAGCCCATCAGGTGCTTCCGTCCATTTTTTAAATTAATAATTGAGTATAGGTTTATTGATCTACTTATAAGTTTATTAGTATAAATTGTTGATAGTAATTTGGTTCATCCAAATATAAGTGACACGTCTGAAGAATATATTATTTCAGTGAAGATGTTATAGCAAATTGAAATAAAAAAACTAAATCAATCATCTGCAAATTATTTTCATTCACCTTTAATTCGAAAATTGATTCTGAATGGTTTGAAGACAAAACTGGCTAAGTGCGAAAAAAGTTGAATTACATTTCAAGATTTCTTGATGAAGAAAAACTTCTGATATATTGTGAGACACTAACCATTGGTCTGAATCAATTAAGAAATATCCATGTTCAACTTTGAGCCATAGAAAAAAAAACAGGCCAGACAACGGTATTTTCCCTTTAATGAATGCGGTTTTTTTTATGGGAAACAGCCGTTGTAGAACAAAACTATTTTCTCAGGTATGAGTTCAATTAAAGAGATTGCTCCATATCAGGGAAAACTATTTCCTTGAAAAACTAATCCAGCTAAATTGTCTCTGGGCAGCTCTAAAAAAGACGAGTAGAAACTAGAGCAGTGTACCAAAGAAAACACAGTTCTTCACGAGTAGTTTCACTTGCGGAAACCTCTGATAATGATTATCCAGAAATGTTGTAGAGATAACCTCATTGTTAAACTGTTGATTGATCTTCCATCGAATAAATACTTCCACTTCGAATAATCAACCGATGAGTTCAACAAAAACTATATTTCAAATTCATTTTGAATATATACAGGATGGTCCAATTTTAGGGCTTCAAAATGAAAACTTGGAAACACTCTTGGACTCGTCGATATCTGATTAGAGGGGGAAGGACTTGCCTATTTTCTTCAACCCCGTACGTTCCACCCCCTACCAGATAGAGCACAACCCCCTCATGGTAAGGAGTTGAAGTTACGGGAATGACAAGACAGGACAAGTTGTTTGCCCTCGAATCAAAAATCGGGGTCTGATCGTTTCTCCAGATCTTCATTTTAAAGCCCAACAATCGGGATGTAAAGTTTTTGTTGGACCACCCTGTATTATTTCTAATGAAATTCGATCATTTTATTATGTTCTGGTTCCCACGAGAAGGGATATCCTGTAATGTTCAGAGAACATCGTGAGAACCAAGGGAAATGTAGGAATTGGTGTTCTTCTCAAATTTCTGGAGGTTATATGCCTCGGGAAAAACCTCCCTTGGCAATGTGTTCCAGAGCCTCGCTGTTCATTGGATGAACGAGTCTTTGGAAAAAGATATTCTGCAGGTCTCCAAAGTGACCACGAAGGGGTGCGAAGCCTCAACTCAACGGGTTAATCTCGCGGGGACTGCTAATAGAGGAACAATTGTTGATATTTCAGAAGAGCATCTTTTATGGAAATATCTATAAGTTAGGGCCAGATCGCCAACTTGTCTACGGTGTTCCAGTGAAGTGAGTGAATTTGTGAGCGAGGCATCATCCACGAGACGAATTGCTCTTTTTTGGACAGAATCCAAGAGTTTCAGGGTATGTTTGGGTGCTGCACTCCAAATATGGGAACAGTATTCCAGAACAGGTCGGAACTATTAGTATACAACTCCATAATCCTTCCACATTTAAATTATTGTTCCAGCATTCTGTTTTTTCTCAACCAGAATGAAATAAACAGACTACAAAAGATGCAGAATGGTGCTATGCGAATAATCTTACAATGTTCAAGGATAACACCGATAGCAAATATGTTGCAAACCCTACAATGGCTACCAGTGAGAAAACTCTTCGAGTATCAAACACTAATTTTCATTTCTAAAATCAAAATTGCATATTCACCTGTATATCTACAGAATAAATTATCATATGTGGCTGAAATACATGAGTATAATACAAGAAACAGAAACAATATAAAAGTTGGAAAATATAAAAAAAAATAGTACACATAATTCCTTACTTTATAAAGGAGTAGATTGCTTTAATGACCTCCCACAAGAAATTAAAGAGAGTGGTTCGATAAATACATTCAAAAGACGATTGAAGGATTATTTAATGAAAAATTAGTATATAATTATTACTTTTTCATGTACCTAGTTCTAGAATTGTTGCCAAAAGTCCATATTTATGTTGTTAACATTTCTTCCTCGTTCGTTTCTGATTTGTCTGGCTGGTATTGGAGCCCTGGAAGAGAAGGCGGTATGGAAGTTGTATACTGGACATGAATATATAGCACGAACAATGAGAGGAATCAATCACACGTCTCAATATTTCCTCAGAAACACATCAGTTTCTGACAGTTCTGAGAAGTACTTCGATTTGATCAAAATTCAAAATTTTCATATGTTCCCAAAGTCGAATGGGTCATAGTTTCTGAAATTATGTATTTTGAGCTCTTGGAGAACAAATAATGGATATAATCTTATTCTTGGATGAGGTACAAGAAACTATACTTGTCCGAATCTATGTTTCCGGTGGTTCCGTTGAGGAATGGAAAAAGGAAATATGTGTGCTAATTCGACCATCTACAAGATATCCGTCTTGATGTCTTGGAAAGTTGCATGCATGATAGAGTTGAAAACAAGTCGCGAAAGTGGCCAATTTCCATTCTAAATCTTCATGGAGTTGCAACTCCTCGAATGGAAGTTTTATTCCGGAGGCACTCAGATGCACAGACATAACTTAGAACGTTCACCCCTAGATTGGATTTTTAGCAAAGTGGGACGGGATAACTCGCCACAAAATCTCGAGTTCAATCAATCCTAATCTGGGTATCAAATAATTCGGAAATATCTTTACTTTTTGTAGCAGAACATCGCTGAGGAAATGTGAGAAAATCAGTGATATAGGGTGAGTCATGACCCAGCGAGCACAAACATCCCTGGGATGTTTTGGGATGTTTTGAAAATGTTGGCATGAAGATGTTATTTTGAGACGTAATATACACTGACCAAAGAGGTGTTTGAAGGATATTGAAGTATTGTTTCTGTTCTTCTGTGGCATTTCTTTGTTTGCCTACTGAGATGTATCCCTGGGATGTTTTAGAAATGTAGGCATGAGGATGTTTTTTTGAGGCGTAATATGCACTTCCCAAAGAGGTCTTAGGAGGATATTGAAAGTATTGTTTTTGTCCTTTTGTGCCTTTTCTTTGTTTGTTTCACCACAACGTCTCATACTTACGTCACAATACGATGAATTCTGATTTGTTTTCGATTTTGTTCTTCTTGTTCGCAATTGGCATTCGCGTTTGCAGCGTGTCACGCTTACATCACGCTGCTAACGAACAGAAAGGAATTTGGTGAAGTTTATTGTGTTAGAAGACTCATTTAGTTTGTAATAATGACCATCAGATGCAAGATGTGTTGTTCGGTGCCTCAGTGTATTCAATATATAAATGTACGAATTCATCAATACACAGCTTCTCCGCAGTTGCAAAATTATGCATTGTGGAGAACATTTCGAAAATTGGGAAACCTATTTCCAATTATATGTCTGTGTGTAGTAAACACTACTCAGAAACCGATTTAGAAGGTAATTTCATATCAAGAAAATATTTTTATGTTCAATCTATTTTTGATGCACTTTTTCATTCAAGGCAAATGGAATCCTAATGCAAAAGTTCATTTTGACAAAAGGCTTCAGAAAAGTACCTCGAAAATGGTTTTTTTACAGCGATTCAATGTGCGCAAGACGCGTTGAAAATGTTCTGTTGTGTCCATGAAAAGGCTTTAAAAAGAACTAGGGAGAAGGTAGTTTTGTGACATATCAAGGACATCTCAATAATTGCCGCCTGCGACGGACATTGGCTGTTCTATAATAGTTCTATTCATGTGTGAACAGAACATCGCAGTGGAGGTTTAATGTCTCGAAATCTCGTACTTTTAACATCTCTGAGATGTTTTTGTGCTCGCTGGGGAGGAACTGTACATACTCCACGAATAGAGGCTCCCGAGGGGAATACCTAAAACCTAAAGTGTCTTCTTCTCTTCTTCACCAATATATAGGGTGAATTATGATATTTGGCAAAAACATCTTTTGGTCATAACTTTTCAATAGCTCCTTCGATTCGTCTGATTTTTCCATGGAATATTCCTAAATCAAACATCAATCGACTGAACTATTCAGAATTCGGATACTCCAGGACCGTTTTCGAAAAATTTTGATAGTTTAGTTCTTATCAAAAAGTTCATCCTGTATATGGTTTTTGTGAACTGTGACCGGGAATTTTCAAAGCACACAAATAATCATTAAAAATAAAATATCCAAAATTCTTCTCACACTTTCACAGAGTTTTGCAAAAAACGATGAACTATAAGCAAAAACGAAAGTTCGACAACAAATTTTATCCAATCGAAAATAATTATATTGCAACGTATAAATTTCACAAATGAAAGTAGGAACAAATAATCAGTAGATTCAGCGCTGATAGTGGAATTCGAAACACATTCATACAGTTCCGAAGACCTCAGTCTATAGTGATAACTGACCCAACACCGAAAGAAAAATCTCAGTAATAGTTCTTACGCAACCAGCCCTGATCGAATAGCATGGTTATATACTTATATAAATAATATTCGTTAACTGTTACTGAATTTGTTTTTAATATAAGCCTCAGAAACACCCCCTCGGGGTATAGTCAAAAAACAAATTTTTCTGAAATGAAGACATTGAATTATATAGAATAGAATAGAATAGATTTATTCACTTATGAAAATTCACTTATGAAAAATGAGATACAATAATAATAATAATGAGGTAGGTACAATAATATGAACTTATATGACTAAATTTACTAAATTACTTAATATTATGAAAAAACATGAGTAAATATGAGCGAATATGAACAAGTATGAGTTGAAACATCATTTTCTTGATACAATTACAATTACAAATTTACATTTCAACTGTTTCGTGAATAAATGCACAGAGCCCACTTAAGGCAGAGCCTTGTCTGTGGGTAGTACAAGTATTGTACTGCATTTGTTTAAATAAAAAATATATAAATAAATATAGTATGCGAAACACAAATTACAAATTATAATTTATGGCGTGTGTATTGACTACATGTTTAGACTAGAGGCACATAATTATATCTACTACAATAAATGAATAATATATTATAAAAAAATTAGAAGAATCAACAAAGCTACATAAGACTACAAATGAGCATAATTTAAAAATTATA